GTCTGCTGAGGGAGGGGGAGGTGGAAGGAGAGAGAGCAGGGAGGTGGGAAGAAGGAGCAGGCAGGCTCCTGCAGTTTGCAGCCAGAGCACGCCCGGGAGGCTTCCTGGGAAGCAGTCCGCCGAGGCCGGGAGCCCTGTCTGCCGGGCAGAGGAAACGCTGCGGGCGGTGCGGGGCGCGGCGACCACACAGGTCGCTCACCCAGGCACACGAGGAAACGCGCTCAGTGCCAGGTGCTGCCGAAACATCGGGTGGGAGAGACTGGTCCCAGAGCTTCAGGTATTGAGCAATCTGCTACACATCAAGCAAATTTGCTTTATATTAACTGTCAGTATAGGAAACTAAAAAAGTATAACATACATTTATCTGAAATGTCATAACATTGTAAAGTTTAAAATCTACAGCTCAGTAAATTTTGTGTGTGTGTGTGTGTGTGTGTGAAAGAGAGAGAGAGAGAGAGAGAGAGAGAGAGAGAGAGAGAGAGAGAGCGAGAGAGACAGAGAGAGAGAGAGAGAGATACCACTCCCCAAATCAAGATAGAGAACAAACTTCCCAGAAAGATTCAAACAGTATACATTTTAGGCCTCTGGACAGGCCGTGTGGCTGAGGGGACATGGCTATATTTCCAGACACCTTTTTAAGAGGACGCAGGGCCGTGTGCAGGACTTAGCCAGAGCCGTTTCCAATGGAAACACAGAGCCTTCTCAGCATTCCTGAAGTTCTCTTCTACCCTTTCCCCAGAGAATGAACCACTGTTCTGACTCCCGTCTCCATCGCTGAGTTTTACCTGCTAACGTTTGTTTTATGCACTTTTCTGTATGTTTTATTTCCTTTTAATAAAAAGTCTTGCTCACAAAGTGGTTTGTCGTAGAGCTGCTTTGTTTTGAGCCAGTCGGCAGTGTTCAATGTCGTGATCCCCAGCTGGGTGGAGGCCCCTGGGGCTCCACAGACCCCGAGTGGGTGCGGCTCCGATCGCAGTCCTCAACTTTCAGGAGTCTTCCCTTTGTCTTTGTCTTTCAACATGTCAGCATTTTGACTGATATGTCTGGGTACGGATCTCTTTGCATTTTTTTCCTACTGTGTGTCAGGCTTCCTGGATAATTTTTGGATTAATGTTTTTCATCAAATTTGGGAAGTTTTCAGCCATTAATTCTTCTTAAAAAATATTTTTATTGACTTCAGAGAGGGAGAAGGAGAAAGATAGGAATATCAATGGTGAGGGAGAATCATAGATCGGCTGCCTCCTGCATGCCCCCTACGAGGGATGGAGCCCACAACCCAGGCATGTGCTCTTGACTGGAATTGAACCCAGGACCCTTGAGTCTGCAAGCCAACGCTCTATCTACTGAGCCAAACCAGCTAGGGCCAGCCATAAATTCTTAAAAGCATTTTTCTCTGTCCCTTTTCCCTCTCCTCTCTCAGTATCCCCGTTTTGCATGTGTTGGTGCACTTAATGGTGGTTTGCATTTCTCTGAGGCTCTATTTATTGTTTTCTTTTCCCCTCATTTTTCAGATTTCATGATCTTTATTGATCTGTCTTCGCATTCCCTGATTTCCTCCCCTCTCAGCTCAAGCTTCTCTAGTGGTTTCTCATGTTGGTTATTGCACTTTCAGACTCCAGAATTTCCATTTGGCTCTTTTTAAAAAGGTTCACCGCGTTATTGGTATTCTCACTCTGATGAGCAATGGTTATTATAAATGTTCCTTTCTTCTCTAAGCATGGTTTCCTCTAGGTCTTTGAACATGTTCACAATAATGCTCAGCCAGGTCAGAGCTTCTGCTCAGCCCTCTGAGCAGACAAGGCTTCTAAGAGCGTGGTTGCTCCGTGTGTGGCTTGGCGAATGCTCTCACGTCTCCTGCCCATCCTTCACTGCTCCTCACTTGTCTCCTGGGTCCCCAGCGGCAAGTGGGTCTCCTGAGGGCGCTGCTTCCCTGGGTTTTGGGTAAACTGGCCAGTCTGCCATTTTGCTTTTTGCTATTAATCTCATGGAGCTACTAGCTCCCTGGTAGTTGCTTGCCACTAAGATCTGTGTTTTTGACACGCTGGGTAATTTAAGGTTGGATACTTTTAGTGTAGCTATGTTTTTAACCAGGAACAAGTAAGATGTTCCATAATGAAATTTGGAAAGCTTTACTTTTATTTTTTTGGAATACTGCTATTTTTATTTTCAAAAGCACATTTGCCAGAATGCTTTTACTTCTATGTTATTGTGGAGGAAAGGGACCACATGCTGACATGACAGCTTAGGGGAGGCTGCATGGCAGTCTTGCAAACTCAGAGATCTAAAGTAACCACAGAGGATGGTCTGAAATTAGACTTTAACTGAAAGCAGTTATGGTGGGTAGTCACCTCCTAGGCTGGTATCATCACTGACAAGGCCAACCTTTACCTGAACTGAGCCTATTGTCCTTTTGCATCTGTGATAACATACCCTTGAAATGTCAGGGTAACTTGTAACTTCCCTTTTTCTGGACCCCTTGGGGCACAACTTAATGTGCTGGGCACCAGGACTGATACCACAAATTCCTTCATTATTCTGTTAATTGTTCCTGCACCCATCTAAGTATGTGTCCATCATTTTACTTTTTATCCAATCCCAGGGGTTCCCGCTTTGCTTTCTCCCGCCTCTCCAGTCTATCACCAATGGATTTCATGTAACCCACCTACGTCCCCTCTTTGATGGCAATGTATAAATACAGGTGTAACCCACCATTCTCTGGAGCATTATCTCAATCCATTGTCGACAGTTTGGCTCCAATAAACGCACAGAAGTTCTTTACCGGTCTGAATGTTTTCTCGTTAACGTTATAAAGTAGAAGGTGGCAAAACAACTAACGTTATAAAGTAGAAGGTGGCAAAACAACTAATTCTTTCTGAGCAGAGCTTCCAGCTTACTCACTCTGGCGGCCTGGCTCACGGGGTCAGACGCCCTCTGGTGGCAGCCTGACGGACGGGCGGGGCTTCCACCTGCTTTCCCTGGCACCGTTCCATTTTATAACTACTTATCTTTTTGATGGAACTATTAACAGAAGTCCCCTTTCCTCCAGTGACCCTTTCTAACCCTCCCCATCTGCTGCCCCGGCCTTCCCCACTCTATGGTGTGTGTCCACGGGCTATTCATATATGCATACAAGTTCTTTGGGTAATCTCTTCCCTCTGGGAATCTTCAGTTTGTTCCCTGCTTCCATGTCTCTGGATCTATTTTGTTTGTTTATTTACTTATTTGTTATTATTATTTAAAATATATTTTTTACAGAGCAGAAGGGAGAGAGATAGAGTTAGAAACACTGATGAGAGTCATTGATAGCTGCCTCTTGCACGCCCCCTACTGAGGATGTGCCCGCAACCAAGGTACATGCCCTTAACCAGACGTCTTCAAACTACGGCCCGCGGGCCACATGCGGCCCGCAGAGGAGTCTGATCCGGCCCGCCAGGTTTTTTGGGCAGTGAGCGCAGCCGAGGTGTTACAGTAGGAATTAGTAGTTCATATAGTCCGGCCCTCCAGCTCTCTGAGGGACCGTGATCTGGCCCCCACTTTAAAAAGTTTGAAGATGCCTGCCTTAACCAGAATCGAACCTGGGACTTTTCAGTCCGCAGGCTGATGCTCTATCCACTGAGTCAAACCGGTTTCGGCTGTGAGTTTATTTTGTTCATTAGCTTCCACATATGAGTGACATCATGTGATACTTGTCTTTTCTCTGGCTTATTTCACTTAGCATGATACTCTCCAGGTCCCTCCATGCTGTCTCTAAGGGTAAAGATAATTATTTTTTACTGCTGCATAGTATTTCATGGTGTAAATGTACCACAGCTTTTTTGTTGTTAGTTCTTACTGGAAGCCATTTCTTCCATTGGTTTTATTTTTTTTTTTTTTTTTTTTTTTTTAAATATATATTTTATTGATTTTACACAGAGAGGAATTGAGAGGGACAGAGAGTTAGAAACGTCGATGAGAGAGAAACACCGACCAGCTGCCTCTTGCACACCCCCAACTGGGGATGTGCCCGCAACCAAGGTACATGCCCTTGACCGGAATCGAACCCGGGACCTTTCAGTCCGCAGGCCGACGCTCTATCCACTGAGCCAAACCAGTCCCGGCTCTTCCATTGGTTTTAGAGAGAGTAGAAGGGAGGGGGGTGAAGGAGAGAAGAGATAAACACTGACGTGGGAAAGCCACATCAACCAGTGGCCTCCCATATGCACCCCAAATGGAGTGGGGAGCCTGCAGGCTAGGTATGTGCCCTTGACCAGAATCGAACCCGGGACTCTTTGGTTCTTGGCTGGTGCTCTAGCCACTGAGCCACCAGCTGGGGAAACCTCAGCTTTTTTACCCACTTTTTTCCTACTGATTGGCACTTGGGCTGTTCCAGATCTTAACTATTGTAAACTGCACTGCTATGAACAGAGGGGTGCATATATTCTTCCTGATTGGACACCCTATCGTTTTACCATGAGGCATTGTCTCAGAAAATGGAGGACCACAGGTCAGCATTGCTACTCTTTTGAATATGCAAGGCTGGAGCTCACAAACTGCTCAGTGCTTTCAGGGGTGTAGCCTGCTCTCCAGGTGACTGACAGACTGCTGCCTAGCCAGGAGCTCCGGGTGGCGTGTTTACAGCCGTGATCCTGCACTTCCGGCAGTGCCAGATGCCCTCGATGCCCAGGCGCCGCGAATACACAGAGCGAGCTGCCATCTCCGGCCTCTCGGCGCAGTGCCCTTTGCAGTCCTGCACCTTACGGAGAGAAGGCAGGTCAGTGCAAGCTCCCCGACAGGAAAGCTCTGAGCTCTCAGGGCCCCAAACTGCCTCCACTGTCACAGGCTCCCTCAGAACTCATGTCACTGCATCAAGCCAGAGCATTAAGTCCAGGAGTTTGGGGAGGGTCGGAGAAGGCAGCGTGTGCTGATGGAAGCTTGTCAGTGAAAGGTGTGATCCAGTTTCAGTCAACATGCCCGCCCCGGACAGTGCACAGACGGCGCAGCACAGTGGATCACGCAGCCTGACTGTGCGCTCACTCCCACTCAGTGCTGGGTAGCTTTATTGCAAGTCATACAATCACGCTGCGGGCCTCACACGTCAGGAAGTGACAGCTGTAGGGACCAGCTTGTCATTACTTCCAAGTTCCTGACATCTTAATTGCACTTAAAATTAAATATGCGGTGAAAGGAAGATACATTTATAAAGATATTCAGCGGGAAGTTTGCACTTGGATTTGCCTTGCTTGGTTATAACAACTGACAACCATCTTCCCATCTCAGGTCTCCATAAGGGTTTCTCCTCCCAGGATGGGGCTAGTAGGAGGGGGGAGGGTTTACACAATGTGACTAGTGACTATCGCTGAGAAGCAGAGGAAAGCCTGGTGCGGCCCGAGGAGGCGCTCCCTGCTGCCCCACGGGGACGGGGCCGCGGGGACGGGGCCGCGGGGCCGGGGCCGCGGGGACAGGGACACGGGGACGGGGCTGTGGGGACAGGGCCGCGGGGACAGGGGGGACAGGGACGCGGGGACAGGGCCGCGGGGACAGGGTCGCGGGGACGGGGGGGACAGGGATGCGGGGACGGGGGGGGCAGGGATGCGGGGACAGGGCCGCGGGGACAGGGGGGACAGGGATGCGGGGACAGGGCCGCGGGGACAGGGGGGACAGGGCCGCGGGGACAGGGGGGACAGGGCCGCGGGGACAGGGGGGACAGGGATGCGGGGACAGGGCCGGGGGGACAGGGTCGCGGGGACGGGGGGACGGGGCTGCGGGGACGGACGCGGGGACGGGGCCGCGGGAACAGGGGAGACAGGGATGCGGGGACAGGGATGCGGGGACAGGGATGCGGGGACAGGGATGTGGGGGGACAGGGGGGGACAGGGCTGCAGGGACGGGGCTGCGGGGACGGGGGGGACAGGGATGCGGGGACAGGGATGCGGGGACAGGGGGGGACAGGGCTGTGGGGACAGGGGAGGGCAGGGCCGCGGGGCCAGAGCTTCGGAGACAGGGGGGACAGGGCTGCGGAGACAGGGGAGGCAGGGCAGCGGGGACAGGGCTGTGGGGACAGGGAGGCAGGGCCGCGGGGCCGGGGCTGCAGGGCCGGGCCTGCGGGCGCCGGAGCCGCGCTCAGATGTCCTTCCCGCAGTCGGGGCACAGGATGTCGTCCCGCTCGGTGAGGAAGCCGCGGCCCACCAGCGACAGGGAGCACTTCTTGCAGTTGAAGCAGTCGCTGTGCCACTGCCGCTCCTCGAAGGAGATGTACTTGGTGCCGCCGAGGCCTGTGGGCGGAGGGGAGGGACGGGTGAGCACAGCGGCTGGGCCCGGGGCTGCACCGGGATTCGGCTCTGCTCCTGGGAGTGGGTCCAGGCACAGCCCGAGGGGCCAGGACTCCTAGAGAAACAGCTAGAGAGCAGCGTGTGGGACGCACCCGTCCCAGCGTCCGGGTGCCCCCAGAAGGCACTGACAGCTGAGCGCCCTCACCGGGCGGCCGGCACCGACTTAGTGCCTGCAGCGCGCTCCCAGGAGGGCGAGGGGAGAGGCTCCTTCCCCCTGGAATGCCGGAAGGACCGCGAAGACAGGATGGCTGGGTGCGGAGGAGGGCAGCGTGAGAAGCCCGGGAAGCGTGCCCGGAGGTGGCGGGAGAGGGCGAGGCGGCAGCTCAGGAAGGTGTGTGGGCTGCAGGAAACTGCCAGGCTCTGAACAAAACGGTGGGAACGCTTTTCAGTTTGGGCGCCTGGCCCGGACTGATGACTGACCCCTGTCACACGCCCGAGGGCACTGCTGCTGTCACCAGTGAGGGTGCGGCCTCAGAGCCCTTGGGACTGAGGTAGATCAGGGTCCTGCTGTCTGGGAGTTGGGATCGATTCTGGTGGGATGTAGATCATGAATTGCAATTAGAGTTCTTTCTGATCTACCACATTAAACATGAGACAGCCGCACTGACTTCCCCCTTGGCACAGGCTGACGTCTCAGACCAGGAGGAGAAGCCTGTAATTCGTGGAAAGGCAGTTGCTTTGTAACTCAACAGGTGAGGCTGAGAATAGCGTTAAATCGCTAACGTGGGGAGACCGGGCCTTGGCGCTTACCCCCAGCGGGACGGGGAGGTGGGGGGTGGGGAGGCGACCTCGCTCACCGCGCCTCGCTGCGCCCACACTCGGCCTTCTGTACACACTGAGGCCGGACCGCACCGGCAGGAGCTGTCAGCTCACTCTGTTGTGACACGGGTGCACTGTGGTGGTCTGACTCCAGACTGAACCCACAGTGGCTCCCAGCTATGCCTTGGTTTGTTGTTTTTTTTTGTTACAGAGAGAGGGAGTTGGAGGGAGAGGGAGACAGCGAAACATGGGTGTGAGAGAGAAACATGGATCGCTTGCCTCCTGTAAGCACCCGATTGGGGATGGAACCCGCAAGCTTCTGTACTGGCGTCGTCTCCCACTCTCCCTCCCAGCCGCGCCCCGATTTGTGTGGCCACTTGTGGGGAGCCCTCTGGAGACTGCAGTCTGACCAGCCCCCGCACTGGGTTCCTGTGTTTCACAGGTTAGGCCAGTGCCTGTCTGCCAGCCGCTTTGCCCAGCCGTTGGGGAGAGGAAAAAACTATCCGGAGGGCCGCCCTCTGCCCTCGATGGCCAGGGTGGTGCACGCTGGGGAGGCAGCCTGCTGCGAGGGGAACACCCCGTCACCGCTCAGACGGCTGCCACAGACACACAGACTGCGGTTCTGAGAGAACCGGCCACAGCAGGAACAGAGGGCCCCAGTGAGCCGAGGGCACGCGCTCCCTGTCGAAGTGCCCAGGGTGCCATGCCAGAGGCGGCAGGAAGGTCAGCTCAGGCTGAGGCCTGGAGCGCGGGCCGCCTCCCCCACCGTCGGGCGCTGCTGCGCTTCACAGATGCCGGGTTCTTACAAACCGAAGGCCGGACCTCTGCCAGCACCACGCACGGCTCTCTTTCCTGCAGGGCCCGCACCGGCCGCAGCCTCTGCAGGGTCTTCCGTGCAACAAGCCTGTGTCGGACTCTCCCCGCCAGCCTCGGCTCGTGAGGAGGGGCAGGGCCGAGGCCTGCTGGCCCCAGGCACTCACCGCTGATGGGGTTGGTGCAGCCAGCACACTTCTTGGCATACAGGTCGCAGAAGCAGTCCAGGCAGTAGGCAAACTCGTCCCGGGACGTGAAGCGCTGCCCGGACAGCGGCTTCTTGCAGGCGGTGCACACGAAGCACTCCTTGTGCCAGGGCTGCTCCCGGTAGGTGACCCCTCCGGCGGTGATGGGCTGGGAGGCAAGAGGGCAGGGGTCAGGGGTCAGGTCCTGAGGCAGAGCGGCCTCCAGGGAACGTCAGTTCTGGTTCAAGGTCACTGAGAAACCGCTTCCCGGCCCTCAGTCCCTGCTGCAGACCTGGCTTCCTGCTAGTGACGTGAGTACAGGGTGCCCGCCCTCCGCGTCCTCTGGGTGCTGGACTGGGCGCAGGCGTCAGGGGCAGGAGGCAGTGCCGGGGTGAAGGCGGAGCCTGCGGCGAGGAGGGCGACCCTAACCTAACCCTGACCTTGAAGGCCTGGGCCCGGGGCCTTGTCTGTAATGACCGGGTCTCCCTGGTCCAGTCACTGCTGCGGAAGAGGCTAAGGCCACGTGGGGCGGGTCTGCGGGGCCGCAGAGTGGCAGGGAGGGCCCCAGGCCCCCTCCTTGCCCGTCTCAGCTCCAGGACTGCGTGGGAGCCAGGCACACCCTGGTCAGCAACACCTCCGCCTGACCCGCTACTGCCTGTGTGCACTGTTGCTTTCCGAGCTTAGTTAACCCCGTGGCTGGCAAACCGCGGCTCGAGAGCCATATGCGGCTCTTTGGCCCCTTGAGTGTTCTAACGCCACTTCTTCAAAATAGACTCGCCCAGACCGAAAACAGACATATGCACATGAGCCACGAAGTTTCAATCGCACTGTACATGCGCACCCGCACATGGTATTTGTGGAAGAGCCACACTCAAGGGGTCAAAGAGCCACATGTGGCTCCAGAGCTGTGGTTTGCCGACCACTGAGTTAACCAACAGATGAGGACAGAGCCGAGTCCGGTCTCAGCTGGCCGCGGGCCGTCATGCAGGACGGAGGACACTCATGGCACTCACAGTGCATCCTGAACGCCCTGCCCGCCCTGTGTCTGCTCCCTCCTCATACGGACGGACAGGACTCTGTCTGGCAGATGGACAGCTGGGACCCCAAGACGGTAAGTGACTTGCCTGAGAATTCAACGCAAGTAAACGCAAAGTATGTAAGAGTTCAGGACTTCCTTCCATCCCGTATTCTCTTCATTAATTAATCATTATCCAAATTTATGCAGACTATGTTGGTGGCAAAGTGTCTCTGAGGCCACAGGCGTGTCTGTGGCAGATGTTCCATCTGGAGCCACCCTCGCTCTGCCATCCAGACCCCACACCCCGCTCAGAGGCAGGAAGGAGTCCTCGGCATGAACGCTGACACGTGTGCTGTGAACACACACACGGGCAGCCCACACGCGGCCAGCATCTCCCCACGGGAACCGCAATGAGGTGGGGAAGGCCGAGCCAGAGGACCCGCTAAAGGGCAGCTCCGGGCTCTCACTGAGGAACAGCAACAAAAAGGGAGTGTGCAGGGAAGAGGGGGCCATGGAGGGACGAAGGAATAAACAGCACAGACACGTGGTGTGAGAGGGGGCACAGGGGAAATGGAAATCAAAATGGTAAAGAAAAATGGAAACAAGAGAAGGAAAGGAAGTGGAGCCTAATGCTCTGCCCTCTGCAACGGTGCAGGCAGGTGGCTGGAGGGGATGGGCACATGACACAGACAGAAAGCGGGCGGGGCAGGGTGACTTAGTCCCGTGACAGCAGCCAGGGCCCTGGTAGCGGTGCAGGTGCACAATCCTCACCGTATCAGGGCCTGTGTGTGTGTGTGTGTGTGTGAGCGGACACAGTTCTCACAGTATCAGGGCCTGTGTGTGTGTGTGAGCGGACACAGTCCTGGCCGTGTCAGGGCCTGTGTGTGTGTGTGTGAGCGGACACAGTCCTCACAGTATCAGGGCCTGTGTGTGTGTGTGTGTGTGTGAGCGGACACAGTCCTCACGTGTCAGGGCCTGTGTGTGTGTGTGAGCGGACAGTCCTCACATGTCAGGGCCTGTGTGTGTGTGTGTGAGCGGACACAGTCCTCACAGTATCAGGGCCTGTGTGTGTGTGTGAGCGGACACAGTCCTCACGTGTCAGGGCCTGTGTGTGTGTGTGAGCGGACACAGTCCTCGCGTGTTAGGACCTGTGTGTGTGTGTGTGTGTGTGTGTGTGAGCGGACACAGTCCTCATGTGTCAGGGCCTGTGTGTATGAGCGGACACAGTCCTCACGTGTCAGGGCCTGTGTGTGTGTGTGTGTGTGTGAGCGGACACAGTCCTCGCGTGTCAGGGCCTGTGTGTGTGTGTGTGTGTGTGTGTGTGAGCGGACACAGTCCTCACGTGTCAAGGCCTGTGTGTGTGTGTGAGCGGACACAGTCCTCACGTGTCAAGGCCTGTGTGTGTGTGTGAGCGGACACAGTCCTCGCATGTCAGGGCCTGTGTGTGTGTGTGTGTGTGTGTGTGAGCAGACACTGGGAAAGGAAGCTACGCCCGAAGGGCACAGATGAGAGGGGACAGGACAGGTGGGAGGGAGACGGCTCCTCCCGGTGCAGGGCTTGCCTCTCTAACCTGACGGCCACACAGCCACGGCCCGGGCTCCTGGGGACGGGCAGCTGATGGGCTGCCCTCCCCGGTCGGCCATCCCCCGACTGCCCCCTCCCACCGCCTCTTTTCCTTTCACAGCCGTTGGCTTCCAGAGCAAGATAACAGACCGCTCTGGGGTCTAAGTTCTCACATCAAGTCACACATCTGGGAAAGGAGAAGAAAGGAACGAAGGGAGGGAGGGAGGGAGGGAGGGAGGGAGGAAGGGAGGATTTTCTCTCAGACCACAGTGCTCATGCCTGAAAAGCCTGGAACACAGGTCCCAGTGTCGGAGCACAGGGGCATTATGGACAGAGGGCGACAGGTGTGACTTGGTGCTGTTCCTTGTCACAGCCGTCATCTTTCGGGAAGGGTGAGCGGTGGGGTGGCCCACACTGAGTGTGTGCGAGGCCCAGCGGCTCGGTACCTTTTTGCAATGAACACAGTGCAGGGCATGCTGCTTCTCGTAGCAGGGCACGCAGAAGTTCTGCTCGTCCTTGGGGATGAAGCTCTTGGTCCCGATGGGCTGCTGACAGCGGTGGCAGGTGAAGCAGGTCTCGTGCCAGCTGCTGCCCTTGTACTCCATCTTGCGGGTGCCTGGCGACAGGCAGGAACAGAGCGGCGCTGTGACTGATGCTGGGCAGTCTGCCCTGGGACCGGCCCCCCGCTCGATCTGCCCACAGTGAGGGCTTCGCCTCCAAGGGGGAGGCTTTGTGGGTTGTAGAGAAGGGCCCACTGCTGTACACCCAGCTGCTATAATAGAACATCTGGACACACTCAGTGTGTGTGTATGCACATGACGTAGAAAATATTCTTATCTCTGACCTTCCCTCTGACCAAGCAGCCAAGGACGTTGTCAGTGAACATAAGACCCCAAGCAACGCTGTGCAAGTGCATCCTTGGTGTCTTCTGAAGTAAGTCTGATTCCTCACCAGGGCTCAGGAACCCGCCCGGTCCCCCGCAGGGCGTCCCGTGGGCACAGACCTGCAGAAGGTCTGCAAAACATGGCCAGCAGGTGGCAGCAAGCCTTGTCTAACAGAACCTGCATGGCAGACGGATTCTCCAGATGGAGAGTTATTATTATTATTATTATTATTATTTTAAATATTTTTATTGATTTTAGGGAGAAAGGGAGAGGGAGAGAGAGATATGTTTTAAAGTCACATGTATTTGTTCGCTCTAGTTTTAAAAAGGAAACGTTTCTCTCTCCTGCAAAAACCCGAAGAAAACAAACTACTTTCCTCCTAAACAACCAGGGACACAGCCCCCCCGCCCCACGGGCAAGTCCCTGCCGCAGTCAGTCGGAGCTGCTCGGACTGTGGGCCGTCTGCAGAGTGCGAGCTCCCGGACGGAGCCCGGTCGCCTCTCCACCCACTGGTCTCGGACACCCGCTGCTGCCCGGGCGCCGGGGGCGGGCATGCTTCTGACAGGACCCCGGCACAGATTTGGGAGCGAGGGAGGGAAGAGGCGTGCGCGGGCCTGACCTGGCATGATGGTCTTCTTGCACTCCTGGCACCGGGACGAGTACTCGTGGGAGTAGCAGTCGGTGCAGAGCAGCTGGTCCTCCTTGGCGGCGAAGGGCTTGTCCACCAGCGAGCTCCCGCAGCGGGAGCAGTGGAAGCAGGCCTCGTGCCAGTGCCGGTCCTTGTAGGACAAGTCCTGCAGGCCAGACACACCGTCAGAGGGCGCTGCGGAGGGCCTGCGCCAGCCTGCCAGGCGGACGGGGCGAAGGGCCTGTCCTCCGCCTACCGCTCAGATGAGTGAGGCCGGGCTGCTGTCCTGACTGCGTTTGGAACGCTGTGCAGACAGGGTGTGTGAGAGACAGAGGGGGGAGAGGATGGAGAGCGAATGGATCCCCTTAGGTGTCATCTCTGAGGAAGAGACAGAAAACATGGAAGTCCAGGCTCCTCACCGACGGCCCCGAGGGAGGTGGGCAGCCCCCTGACAGCGGATCACCGTGCTGGCGGCAGGGGGGGAGCCCCGGTGGAGGGCGAGGCACAGGCCCTGCAGGACCCGGCGGAAAGCGTCAGGAGACGCCACGTGCTGGTGCCACCAGCTGAGCTGGACGCCCGTGGGGACTGTGAGCGGGGAGGGAGGGGGGACGGGCATTCCGGGCAGAGAGTGGCGTGTGCATGGACGAGGGGGAGCCAGGCGGGGTCAGGTGGCCCTGTAAGGCCTGCACGCGTGTAGGTTCGTCCTGAAGGCCGTGCAGGGGACGTGCGTGTGCAGGTGGAGGAGGACAGGGAGGGGAGAGGGCCGCAGAGACGATGCCTGGGGGTCTGGCGGTGGAAAGAGTGAATGAGGAACCGGTGGGCCAGGTGCTGAGGGGACGGCGCCTGCGTTCCAGGAAGAGGGACCGAGTGACCGGGAGCTGCGGGCTCCCGGCGGCCTGGGTCTGGCCTCCTCACACTTGTGCTGTTCAGAGGGCTTTGGAAGGACCAGTTCAACGTTAAAGTGAGCCTGTTTACATGCAGCTCTACCCTAAATGGGATTACTTTCTATTGTTCCTGGATTTCCCAGCTCTGGCCGGAACCGCCGTCCACTTCCTAACGTGGCAGAAACGGAACCCGAGGCCACGGCGAGGGCTCCGGGCTGCTCCCAGCTCAGTGCCCGACGCGGCTCACACCACCGCCCAGAGCATCCCCACCACGTCTGGTGCCAGCCCAGGTGGGAGCTGGAGCAGGGCCAGCGCAGGGGCGAAAACACATCCTGGCCTTGTTAGACCGAAACACCGGCTCCGCTCGGACCCGGGACCGAGACTCCGGCTCCGCTCGGACCTGGGACCGAAACACCGGCTCCACTCGGACAGACACCAAAACACCGGCTCCGCTCGGACCCGGGACCGAGACTCCGGCTCCGCTCGGACAAAGACCGAGACACCGGCTCTACTCGGACCCGGGACCGAAACACCGGCTCCGCTCGGACCCGAGACCGAGACACCGGCTCCGCTCGGACCCGGGACCGAGACACCGGCTCCGCTCGGACAGAGACCGAGACACCGGCTCCGCTCGGACAGACACCAAAACACCGGCTCCGCTCGAACCGGGACCGAGACACCGGCTCCGCTCGGACCCGGGACCGGTTTGGCTCAGTGGATAGAGCACTGGCCTTCGGACCAAAGGGTCCCTGTTCCGTTCCGGTCAAGGGCACGCACCTCGGTTGCAGGCTGCCTCCGGCCTGGTCAGGGCTCCTGCAGGAGGCAACCGATCGATGTGTTTCTCTCACATCAGTCTTTCTCTCAGTCTTTCCCTCTCTTCCACTCTCCCTGAACATCAGTGGAGAAATATCCCCGGGTGAGGGTTAACAACAACAGAAACAAATAAATGTCCTGGTTTTAAAGTCTTTTAGAGAGAGAAGGAAGAAGAGAAAAGAAAACAATCTTTTATACATCCCATAAAAAACAGCAACGCTAATCTTATGCTCACAGGAACGTCATAAATCGCAGTAAGAGGTTGATGAATAACGTAAGACAAACACTTCCTGTCAGATTTCCCAGTTCCCGATCCAGAAACACCCCGAGGTGTTAGTGCCTCTGCCTGGCCCGCCCTGAGCCTCAGCGGGCAGGGGTGGGCTGGTGTCCTGGCGGGACCTCGGCGGGCTCAGGGCGGCCCACCCGAAGCGAAGCGGGCCTGGCGCGGGCACCCGCCCTTGGCGCACCTCCCGCCTGGGCTGGGCGTTCAGAGCAACCACAGCCACAGGACTCCGCTCTGCGGATGGTCGACGGCCTCGCCTCAGACCATCAGGTTACCGGGCTTTCCACAGCATGTTCCTTCAAACCCGAAAACAAAGGTCAGGGAGCAGGCGAGGGCCCCTCCTCTGGCTCCCTGGGAGAGGGACCGTTTTCAGACCCGGGCACCAAGGCTCCAGGGCAAGCCTGGCCCCGTGCCACCCGGCTGGGCGTGACCCGGCTGCGTGCGGGCGTGCCTGGCCGTGACCCCTGGTTTTCGTGGAAGGAGAGGTCCCATAGTCCCCATCTGGTTGTTTTGTTCCCAATTCCAGGATGCCTGCTTTACTCAGTCCCCCCAGCTTTCTCTCTTAGAGGAGGATGTCCAAATACATACACATAGTTAGTGCTCACTACAAACTCCGACACTTTACACGGAAACTCTAAAAGCTGATCCACTCACGAAGCACTTAACGCAACAACAGAAGGAGCAGCGGGGGCCCTCCCGGAGGCGCGGCCGGGCAGGCGCGTGACCCGCGGGAGGGCGGGAGGGACACGCTCCGTCTCACTCTGCCCTCCGCCGGGCCAGGAGTCCTCCGGTGTACAGAGGGCTCCCTCTAACCTAGACGGGGCTAATCCAGGCTCCTGGCCCCTCCCCGAGGCTGCCTTTTGCCAAAGGGCCTCCGACATTTCTGTCCTTTAAGAGCTTTCCAAATGTCAAATGAGAAACTTTTATAGTTTGATGAGTCCACTCAGGACAATATGATCATCAGTTCAACGCTTCTCCTTTAACTAATTAGGAGACTGGAAAGAGTGTTCTAGAAGGAAGACACTTCTGCAGCACAGTCATTGCCACCTGAAGGCCCAGCAGAAACAGGAGCCGTTGCTGAGGCCCGCGATGGAGGCGAGGCAGACAGCTGACCCCCAGCACAGACAGCAGTCCGGCCGCAGCTGGCCGAGTCCCGCAGACAGTCCCCCCAAGGCTGCGTGAGGCTGGCGGGGAAGCATGTGGGGCAGGGTCACCCCACCTGGGCTTAATTCTGACTCAGGTGCCTCCCAACCCTGTGACCCAGCAACACCCCTCGCCTCTCTCAGCCTCAGCGGCTTCTCCACAAAATAGAACGAAGAAGTCCCTCCACAGGGGGTGTTATGAGAAGTTCAGATCACGGAATTAGCGCATTTCCCAGGGTCTGGAACAGAAGTTCCACTCAGTGCGTGGAGCTTTGGTGACTGGAAGCTATCCCCGAATGCGAGTCTTAGATCCACAGATGGATCTCCATTTGCTACTGTCTTCCTCTTCCCAGAACCGGCTAGGCCTAGGGCACATGCTTTGGTCAGGTGGCCTCTCTGACTTATGACCTGCTCACACAGACATGAAAACTCAGTCTGAGCTGAGCATGTGTGCTGAAGTCGCTGATTTGATGAATGTATGGTTCTTACAGCCATCTCTGGAGCTCCAGCCCAACCCGTCTTGTCTGTACTTTGTGGAATTTTTGAAGCCCAGAACATAGGTAGATAAACCCATCCACACACACACAAAATAAATAAATAAAATAAAAATCTGTAATCAGGTTAAAAAAATGTTTTTTTGCTAGTATCCACAGGAACAGTGTAATGTTGGGGTATCAAAAGTTTTATTTTTATTACGTGTTTTCAACTGTCCCATTGACCACAAAAACAAATGGTTTTTACCCTTTGAGACCACAGCATTTCCTCAGAGTAACTAAGTAGAAGTAAAGAACGTAATTGAGTGACTGCACAGAAATGATATTCAGATACATATAATCCAACTACGGTGATTGGTCCTGAAGTCTTGTCTGTCTCATTTAGAAGGCTGTCAGGATGGCAGAAGAGTAAGTGGAAGCTACACGGACACTCTCTCAAGACCAAACTGGAAATGACGAAAACACAGAAAAACCACCCTGAAAAACCAACTGAAGACTGGCTGGAGAGAACCCTATAGCCAAGAATGGGAAGTGGAAACTGGCAGGCGAGGTGGAGGCGTGAAAGGGCTGGCCAGGCTCCCACACACAGCAGCCGAAGGTCGGGAGGGACATCTCAGCTGTGGGGGGTGACCACTGAGAACTCTGAGGTCTAAACCCAAAGCTGGACCCCCCAGCCCAGAGAACCAGGACTGAGAAAGGTGCCCACAGAACATCTGGCTGTGAATAGCAGCAGGGTTGCTGTCTGCCAGGGAGAGAGGCTGGAAATGCAGGCATCCTCTTAAAGGGCCAATGCACAAAACTGCATGTGCAGCCACTCACTGTGGACTCTGGCAGACGGAGGCTGAGTGGACTGGAGCTGTGTGAGTAGAAGCCAGGGGTGGGGGCACTCCGGTCTCCTGTGCTGAGTCATTCTCTCATGCTGCAGACTCTACCTTTCTCCTATGGACCTTTGCTATCCAGGTGGTTTCGGCCTGGAGTGAGTAGTAGCCACACCCAGTGGGAAGAACTCTTGCCCAACCTATGGTTCATAGCCTAAGACAAGTGAAGGCTGATAACAATTAGACCGCAGGCAGAGGCAGGACTCTGGATCCTCTGAATCTTTGGGAAAAGCAGACACTGCTGCACATCTGGTCCTTTCCAAAGGCATCCAGTCCCAGCAGAGGGAGCCATAAGCTGTGGAATGCTGATAGCTAACAGGGGGCCCCAGGACCAATCAGAAAGAGCGTCTGACATTGTTTTGCACTAGAGATTGGGAGTCATAACAGATCTACCTAATACACAGACACAAACCCAAACAGGCAGCCCAAATGGGGAGACAAAAAACAACAACCCCCAAATGAAAGAACAAGAGAATTCACTGAGAGATAAATGAAATGGAGATAAGAAATTTATCTGATATAGATAAATTTATCTGATATAGAGTTCAGAGAAATGATGGTAAAGATGTTCAACAGTATGAGAAAACATATAGTAACTATGAAAAAAGGACAGTCAGAAATAAAGACATAGCACTAATAAAGAACACATTGGAAGGAATACACAGCAGATTA